CTACTCCTCTGTCCCCAGGTGTCCGTATTTGTATAAGCTTTCTTTAACCTGCAATTCTGTGACGTAAAGTTTTTGCTAGTGTCAACAATAAATGGTGTTTTTTGATGCTTTTCCTTTTTTTATAGACAAGTAAACAGGACCAATGTGTAAGTCTGAATATCAATGAAAAGCTATTTTAAATGAAAGTGTATATTTAATATTACATTTTAAAAATATGTCTTCTCAGGATAACAGCTTTATCAGAGTGCTTTAAAAGCTATAAATTGTATAGCAATTACATTGGGACCATCTTAGTGTGTACAATACTATCTAGTGTTTATATTTTCCAATGTAATTTAATTGTCCATGTGAATTTATACATATACTTGTTTGCAGATTCACTGCATAAATTTAGACATACATAGCTAATTGTACACACACTGTATGCATGGATGTTGTTTGGAACACCTGGCCCTTCTCAGTGGAGAGTTACCAGCTTGGTCAGGAGGTAGAAGGCAAACTGGGTCCTGGCTGTGGTTATCTTTCCCACTTCCTCCTCCTTCAGCCTGAGATTATTTTCTGAAGGGCCTGTTTGTCCTCAATATGTGGGCCAGTATCTTGTCTACTTAGGAGTGTGCTAGTTTTAGGGACTCCAACTTGCTCTGTGACTGACTCATTATCCAGCTTGACGGTCACAAGGCCTTACTCAGCTCACTACAAAGAGCCCCTTGTACTGGCCCAGCTGTTTATTTCTGTTTCTCTTTAGCACTACTTTGCTGTAATCTCAAGTGAGTAAAGTCTTCAACTTGTTTAATGACTCCCTAATTGCTATACTTACCACTAATCTCCAAATAATTCCTCTTTTGAAAAGGGTGGCTTTACACACACACACACACACACACACACACACACACACACACGCATATATACTTATATTTATATACTAGAGGCCCGGTGCATGAAAATTCATGGACTAAGCAAGGAGGAGTCCCTCAGTCCGCCTGCTTCAGGAGCTCTCAGGGGATGTCCTACTGATGGCTTAAGGGAGCAGGCCTAAGCCGCAGTCCGGCCTCCCTCTGTGGGAGGTGAGCAGGCTGTATAGGGGAAGGCGCCGCCTCCATCACCTTGCTGCTGCTGCCACTGCTGGCTACAGTGGTTGTGAGGCCTGAACCCCGGGGCTCACAGCTACCTGAGCCCATGGCTGCCTGAGCCCCAGGTCTCGCAGCCGCTGCGGCTTTGTATTATGCACTTCCAAATGGATGTCCGGAAGACGTCCGCCCCTTAGTGATTTCAAAGCTCAGTCACTAGCTCTCCAGCAATGATATTAGAAATACAGACTATTCTCTTCCCTAAGAAATAGACAAATCCTTTTTGTATGTTGTTTTCAGTTTCCTATTTTAGAATTCAGTATTCTCCTTCAGAAGATAGATCAAAAGTTGTTGGCACAATGTGTGTGAGAATCATTTTCAATTAAGTTTTACTTAATGTGGACTACCGTCTTCAGGGGAGAGAAACAATATTGAAAGGCAGTTACTCAAAAGTAACTGCATAAGTATCAGTTTCTACTGGATTATTTAGGCATAAATTGTATAAATCCTAATAGTGAAATAGAGAAAGGTATAAACGTGAAAGTATTGCAGGATGTTAGCGACTCTTGCACCTTTTGGTTGTCTGAAGGATGTTAGAGTTACCTCATTCAAAACCAACCTGGTCAACCCATTTGGGGGGAAAATCAAGGAGATAATGACTGCATTGCCACCTTCTCAGCAAATGGTTTCAGCTGCTCAGTGTACCTAGTTGTTCTCATTTCTCCAGGATAAAGACAAATGGAGAACTGCTTCTGCTGGGGAAATAGCCCTCAAGCTGTGGCACATGAGGTGGCTGGTGAATAAGGGTGACAATGGTCTAGTGTGGGGAGGGGTTACATTATATTTCATTATCTTTGTTGTGCCAATTTCATTACAGGCCATAACTTTGTACATTTCTGAGGGAAATATGCACAGCTCTGTTGAAAATATATAAAATATATAGTATTTTTTAGAATGTTCAGTCAGATGGAGGGTTCTTTTCATAGAAAATAGGAGTGCTGTGAGACTTGCCATAGTCAGGACAGAATGTGGACAGACAGACTACTTTCAAATTAGTGCTACTTCTTGCTGGTGAGATGGTGCCATCTGCATATATTAAGTTATTGCTATTCCACCAATTTTCACTCCTACCTCCCCTGAGTCTAGCCCAGTTTTTCAGATAATAAATTCTGCACAAGGATTAAACAAATAGAGATGAAAATGCACTTTAAAAAAAAAAAAAAAAAAAAAACATGACTGCAGAAGAAATACACAGCTTTAACATAGACAGTGAAGACACTGGAGTTGTTAAAGATTGTGCTTAGCTTGGTTCAGTCGTTAATTCAAATGGAGACTGTAGCCAAGAAATCAAGAGAAAGGCTGTGACTTGGAAGAACAGTAGTGGAGGATTTAGGACAGATCACTAAGAGCAAAGATGTGTCATTTGAGACCAATGTTAAGATCACTCACAGCCTCATATTCCCAATTACTGTGTAAGAATATGAGGGCTGGGCAGTGAAGAAGGCTGGTAGAGATAAAAATGGGTTCATCTGAAATATGATGTTGGCGAAGACCTCTATGGATAACCTAGACTACCAGAAAGATAAACTAATCAGTCCTAGAGCAAATTATGCCTGAAGCATTGCTGGAGGCAAAAATGGCAAAACTGAAGCTGTCCTACTTTGGGACATGAGAAGGGAGGGTCCTTTGGAAAATACAACAATGTTGGGAAAAATAGAAGGCAGCAGGAAAGGGAGAACCTAATGTGAGGTGGATTGAGTCCATAAAAGAAGCCATAGGCATGAGTCTCCAGGAGCTGACCAGGCTGTTGAGGATAGGACATGATGGACATCACTCACTCCTAAGGCCACTCAGCACCATGGAGCAACAACAGGAAGTGCTTTTATTCCCTGTATATGTTTCTGTTTCTTATGCTTTTTGGACATCATATTTCTATTAGTGCTGGCCCCTAGTTGGGTACCCTGCAAAAGCAAATAATTGGAAGCTCTGGGAGTGTGGGAAGTAGGGGTATATGTTGGTGCAGAATGGACTTGCCTTGCCTTGAAGATATAAAATAACTTGTCAAAGTCTGGATGTTCAAGAAGTGCTATAAAACTAAGTGACATTGAAGAAGAAAGACCCTGGTCTCATGGGGAATTGGAGACTATAACAACCAAGCAAATGGCTTACCTCATTAGGGGCCCTTGTACTGGACTATCTTTGGACACCAGAGAACAGAGGCGCGGGGGAGGGGGTGGAAGCATGGCATTGCATACAGGTAGCCATTTATGAAGTTCCCATTAAGTACCAGGAACTCTTCCAAGCCCTTTGCTCCGTTAACACATGTACTGCTTATAGAAGCCAGGCAGGTAAGGTATTGTAATCACTGATACTTTCATTCTGTGAATCTCTTAGTGTTCCAGAAATAGCCACATCACTCTTCATTTAATCTCAAAATTATTTTAAAATATTAAATATGTATACATATATGAAACATACAAAATGTCAAACATGTTATAACATGGTGGTTAACAGCAAATGCTTTGAATTAGGCAAATCTGAATTTAAACCTGGGGTCATCCATATATAACAGTCACATTGCCCAGCCTCTGATAGCCACATTGTTTTCTTTTCTGTATAATAGAGATAATGCATAATACCTTTTTTTTTTAAGGACTTTCAAAGTAATTAATTTTAATAATAAATACAAAATAAGTGGGTTTTCAAAAAAGACCACATAGCTCCTTCAAAAATTTTAGTTTAAAAGAGAAGGTGAGAAAATAAAAGAATAATATTCCTAGTGATTTTTATGTACTATGTTTTACAGAATTTTTTTTTTATTTCACTTTTTTTTCATTTTTAATATCTAATATTGAAGTTCATCTATAAAAAAGCTTCTTTAGAATTTAAATTTAATTGAATCTTTTTTCTGTCTCAGTGATGCATCATACAGGTTGGGCAAAAATAGGTTTATAGTTGTTCATACAGAAAATAATACATATAATAAGTAACGAATAAAAGAAGAATAAAATCTTATTGTATGTACTCACAGCTGCAAACCTACTTTTGCCCTCCCTTGTATAATGATCCTATATAATAAAAGGCTAATATGCAAATAGACTGAATGGCAGAACCGCCGGTTGCTGTGATGTGCACTGACCACCAGAGGGCAGATGTTCAACACAGGAGCTGCCCCCTAATGGTCAGTGTGCTCCCACGGGGAGAGTGCTGCTCGCCCAGAAGCCAGCCTCATGATTGGTGAGCAATGCAGCGGTGGCAGGAGCCTCACACCGCCATGGGAGTGCTAAGGATGTCCAGCTGATGGCTTAGGCCCGCCCCCTCTGGGCTCCCGGACTGCACGAGGGTGTAGGTCGGGCTGAGGGACCCCTCTGAGTGCACGAATTTCATGCACCAGGCCTCTAGTGTGTTCTACTATAATTGATGGCATTTTAGATTTTATGAGCTACAGATTTTATGATAATATCAACTTTTCTTTTTCTTCAGGAGACAGTAACATGTAGTAGTTATACATTCAGGGTGCAGTTGTATATAGATGATGTCAAATTACTGAACCTTTTTTCCCTCATCCCTTCCCTACCAAAGGAAATGTCTATTCCACAACATTGTTCATATTACATTAGAAAATGTGTATAACTTTTTTAGCACAGTGTCTGCTGCAGAATTATTAAATGCATAATAATAGCCATTGTTGTTATTTTTATCCTTATTTTTTTCCAGCAAACCTTTGAATTCATAGACGTGGATGGTGGAGTCAGTTCTGCCACTATTGAACTTTGGAATCTCTGTCTCATTTTCCTGTTTTGCAAAATAATGTTCTGGCTAAGATGTTCTATGCTCTAAATTCATCCTGGCTTTAAAATTTTATTACCTAATTCGGATTCTTAACATAATGTGGCCATAAAATGAATTTATTTATTTATTTGTTTATTTCAGTTTGTGGGGACATCCATGGACAATTCTTCGATTTGATGAAGCTCTTTGAAGTGGGGGGATCTCCTGCCAACACTCGCTACCTCTTCTTAGGGGACTATGTTGACAGAGGGTACTTCAGCATCGAAGTAAGTCCACATCATTTCTTTTTAGCTGCTCAGTAATGGATCAACAGTGTCTTAGTAAAGTAAAATTGGTAGATAGCATTGCCTTAAGGAAATCCCTAGTCTATAATAATGAATTGAATTCTAATACACTTAATTCTTGGGATATTACATCTCCTTTTTTCAATTGATTCCCATGTGCTTTTTTAATGTATAGAGATGCCAAGGAAATGGCTAAAAGTAAGATTTTGCCTTTTGTATCTTTTATTTATTATTTGCAACTTTGCAAAAGTTACATCATATTTACCTTACATAATTCTGTTTTCTGTTAGAGCACTAATCAGTGTTGATTAAATATTCAGGAATGTGCTTGCATGGAAGCCTTATAATTATGAAACAACAAGCTATTTTTGTAAATCAGTAGTCAAGTGTGCCTCTGTGTCTGCATTTGTCTGTGTGAATATGTGTGAGCATGCTTATAGGTGCTGGGCTTTGTCTTTTGACACCTGCCATCTGACCAGGGTAATTTGTTAAACTCATTAATTAAAACACAACAGATAACCTTTGAGTACAGATAACCTTTGAGTAGAGGTTCTTTCTCAGCCTCCCACCTGATTCTAGTAGAAATTATGTTCAAAATAAAGGCAAGCATCTTGTTTTATTCACATGTTTATTTTTCCTGGTGCTTAACATGGTGTCATACATAGAACAGGCTCATTAAAATTTATTAAAAGAAATAGCTTAGTAGGAATTCATTTTAAAGAAGCAGTTTATGCTGTAGTAGCTGACATTGTAAGTGTTCTAGGAAAAAAGCATTAAAAAGAAAACTATTTTTCTTAATTAAAGACCAAGTTAAAATTTCCTTAAGTCTCACACCAACATCAGGTATTTATAATAGTCATATAATAGTCATATAAAAGAAACTCTAGTTTTTTAAATTTTCATAATTTATTTACTATAGGAATATTTAATGTTGAAAAAAAATGTCACTCTTAAAACCACCATACTGTATTTTTAAAACCACCATACTGTATTTTTTGGTTATTCAATTCACCTCAACTAAAACAAATATATATATATATATATACATATTTCCACCAATATTTTAATCATTTTTTTACTTAAGGATCACATATTTATTAATAATAATGAGGAAAGGAGGGGTGATGTTCGTACATAAATTCAAATGGAGAAAGTACATTTTTAGAATTTCTTCTTTTGGTAAATGTGTATTATCAAGTACATAAAATGTATGACCTGGACTGTAGGGAATTTGAAGACATATGTATCCTTGCTCTATAGAAAACTAAATCTATATTGTAAAATAAAACTTTTTTTAAAAAGCTCTATAGAATCCAAAGCCAGATCCAGTGGTCATCTAGGATTCAATTGTTATTTGAGCTGATTATTAAAATCTTATAATAAAGGAAGTATAGAAAATAATAGCCATTGGGATATAGAAAAGTGGGAGAATATTGAGAGAGCACACCTGGCTGGAGAAGACTAAGTCAAAGAACAAGTAAGAGTTGCCTAGGTGGGAAATCAAAGCGAGAAAAGGATAGAAGAAGAAATTATTAAACCTCATAGACCTCACTCAGGGGTTCATTTGACCCACTTGGTAGGAAAGTGTGATTGAGTACAAATGTTTAAGACCTTTCTGTCTAGGGCTAGTATCTGCCAAGAGTAAGGAGTGGGGGGTTGCAGGGGGTGGGGGACCTGCATACTGGTAGTTTGAACAGAATAGAACTTTATTTCTCTCTCCAGTAAAAGTTCATGGATGGGCTGGTGTGACATGTATAGTGCCAGGGCACAGACCCTGTGCCTGGTCTCATTCCAAAGTCAAATTCATGGCCCAAGACTGCTGCCACCTGAGCTTAAGTCCTCATGACCCCATGTTACATTCAGCTAGAAGAAGAGAGGGAAGAGAAGGGTATGTCCTCTCATTTAAGGAGGTTCATTTCCCAGAAATGGCACAATTACTTCAGTTTGGGTCAGGTTTGTTGATATGCCAAAGGTGATTTCACTGTGTAGCCAGGTTTGAGAAAGTCTGTAGAGGCAGGAAACAGCAATGGGAGATAAGAGTTTCTGCTACTTTCCTTAAATTAGGGTTGGATGGATATTTTTAAAAATTATTTTGGTAACTCTAAAATACATCTTATTTATCTAATATTTATATGCTCCTATGAAAGGTTCTGAGGATGTATAAAATAGATATTCTAATTTCCTGAAAGCTCACCTTTTAAGCAAGGTGACTATCCCATTGGGATTTATTCTTTTTATTAGCCAAATGATGGGGTGTGATAGTGGACATTTAAAAAATATATTTATTATTTTTATCAACTTAATTCCTCCTTTTTTTTTTAACCTAATCAAAGACAATAACACCTTTTCTTATTACTTTGCTAATAAGATAAAGTACTAAATCATATGGCACAGATAGACTTTATGTCTCACCAATTCCAGGTGTGAATAACAGTTCTTAATCTACGGGTCTTTATTTACCTTTTATTATTTTACTTGAAGAGTTTGAGTTTCTGAATTTCTAGCCTCTACCCATTTGAAATTTCCTAAATTTGCCCTAATTAGAGCATTTTAAAACTCTGTTTATTTAAAGGACAGAAGTTTAGAAGCAGTAATCACTAATGTGTTTCTCAGCAGAATTTTTTAGTGTAAATTAAACTATATATTTGAACTATGAGAGTTGTGATAGTTTGTGTAATATGCACCTTTTCAATTCAAGCAGAGGATCAAAGAATGAAACCAAATCTAGGCGACATTAAATGTAGGCATCACAGGACCTTTAAAAGTTCTGAGATGCATATATCAGCGTCCCCATCATCAAAAAGAGCTCTTTAATTAAACTCCAAGAGTCTGAGCGTACAGCCCTCGGGACTTGCCACATGCATACGGAAGTGACAAAAATGTGATATAGTCTTACACGTAAAAAATGATCCATTTTAATTTAACTCTGACGTTGGAGGGACTTTCAGGTTTCTCTGATATTGTCATGCTTAAAATAGAACAGACATTTATATAAAACATACTTACCGAGAATACTTTGGGGCTTTTTTATTGTGGATTAAGGAAGCCGACATTGTTTGCATGCGGCAAATGCTATTGTTTGGGAGGTATAAATGATTTCATTTTTTCCATGCAGCTTTGCACGGAACATATAAATGCCTTTCTTTCATGCGTGTGGAAACCTAGGCGCAGGGAGAGTCACACACATTTACTAATGGCAGTGCCGGGATTCACAGTCTGTGCTCTTGCCACTGCACCCCACACCTTGGCCGCGTCTTCACTAAAAGAACCACAGGAAAAAATGGATGCCTCAGGAATGCAGAAAGGGACGGGCCCTCTCACAGTCACGCACGCACGCACGCACAAACACATGCACGCAGCCCTCTCCCCACCGACGTATTCACTCTACAATATTCTCTTTGAGCACAATGCTGCTGGTTTAAGAAAAACCCTAAAATAAGAGCTCGGCTTTTCAGCCCGCACTACCCGAACAGGCTTCAAAAGGCTCTTCATTCATCTGAATAATTCAGGGCACCGCTGGCTGCAGGTATCCTCCTCTGGCTCTCCCCTGGGCAAAGAGGAGCACTTAAGTTTAATTTTTACCAAATCGGCTTTGAAGAGTGGGTTCGGATTTCATACCGTTTCTGCCGGGTGGTTTTACAGGCACCAGGTAATGTGCTCTGGGCAGTACATAGAGCTCATTTTATGTTCTCACTCCCTGCCTTCCCTCCTCCCCCCCACCCCCCCAAGTCCCCCATCTTCTCTCATTGCCAAGATAAGAAACCATTCCCCACAAAGTTAGCCCAAATACAACAAGCAAGCTTTTGAGCAGTGATGAAAGAGGTTAGGGTAATAATTTGTCTCACGCCAAATACCATCCTCTTTCTGATGATTGTGTTATGCTACCTAACGTCTTTGATCACGCATATGTGTGTGTGTGTGTGTGTGTGTGTGTGTGTGTGTATAGGTCCACGTCTGAGTGTGTTTCTCTGGGAAGGTGGGGAAAGACAGAATTTCAAACAGAGGCAGCCACAGCTGTTTCCTTCTATTCACTTCCCCAGGCTCCTTTTCCAGCCATTGTGCCTGGCACTGCCATGAGCTTAGCAGCAAGCCACCCCCTCCCCGAACCCCCTGCTGTACTTACATCCAGATCTCAGCCCAGGCCTCAAACACGTTTAAGCATGAAGAGTTGTGTTTATTCGCTGTGAAACCATAGGCTAGAAAGAACCCCAGCAAGTCAAGCAATGTTCTATGCTTCTGCCAAGAATAAAAAGCAAGTGACACAGCAAGCAGCGTTAGGTGGTAGAGGGATGCCACAGACACGAGGAAGAACGTGTCTGGCTGTGTCCCTGCAGCCGACTGTCTGTATAGCACAGGGCTGCTCCTCTGAGTGCTCCTCAGACCCAGCGAGTGCTGTCTTGGAGGGGCTGCATTTGACATTGTAAGAGTTTAGATCTTTTCCCAACCAGTGCACATCCGTCGCCTAGCTGTCTTATGATGGAGAGAAGGCCTTTTGGTTGTGTGTCACTGCACAATGGGTATTTTAGAGAACTGATTGATATCTATTTGGAGCTGTATACATATTTTTTACTTGCTTGCTTCCTCTTTCACATTCTTCTTTACTCCCCTGGGCAAGTTTTCAAGATACATATCATTAAAAGGCATGAATTGCAAAGTAAATTATGGCACTGCTATTATCAAAGAACCAATTACACTAATAAAGAAAATGATACCCTGAGTGTTGCTTCATAGAGGAAGACAGATAAATAGAAGAAGGCTATCTTTATGATGAAAATTATTAAAAAGGTAGAGAATGCTTAATCCCTCCGTTGAGTAACCCAAACTAATTTGAAGTTGTAAATATTTGTTTGATTGTGTAGAGTAAGACTGGAAAGACAGTCCGGGTCCAGTTGAAAGTGATTAGTGCAGGTAATTTATTTCTCACCTTGCCTTTCTTCACCTTCACCATTTAATCCAGTGAAAATGTTACTCCAGTTAGCCATCTGATACCACATAGAAGAATATACCCAGTTATTTAGCTGGTTTATTTCTTTTCATTGCTTATTGATTATAATAATTTTATAAGAGACCTTCCTTTTTAGAAATAATATCAGGTTATGATTTTGTTTAAGAGCTTTGGCTCTGCAGAATGTTAGAACTTTAGAAGGCAAAATAGTCGCCAGCAAGACAGTGTTGTGCTTGGCAGCCCTCTCGCACCAGATGTTGAGGGTGAGGGCTGGCAGGGCTCCACGCTCCAGTCCACCCTGCCCTTTCATTTGCCATGCCACTTCTTCCATGTTGGCTGCATTTGTGGTTTTATTCAGTGTTTGGGAAGATATTTTATTCTTGCCACAGGGGAGAAGGAAATAAAATGTGAAAACAGGATTCTTATTTTTAAGGTATTTTGAGCCAAGAATTTGGAAATGGGGCAGAGGGCGCTGGCGTGAGGGAGGTATGGGCGTCGGGATTGCTGGCGGGAGGTCGTTCGGCTTTTGGCGTGTGCGTATTGTATTCTTTTTCTAATTCGCCTCCCTCCCCCATCGCTTTCCCCCTTCTTTCCTTCCTTCTTTCTTCCTTTCCTTCCTTCCTTCCTTCCTTCCTTCCTTCCTCCCTTCCTCCCTTCCTCCCTTCCTCCCTTCCTCCCTTCCTCCCTTCCTCCCTTCCTTCCCTTTCTTCTCTTACCTTCTTTCAAATTCCTTCTCTTACTTTCCTTCAAATTCCTTGCTTCCTTCCTTCCTTCCTTCCTTCCTTCCTTCCTTTCTTCCTTCCTTCCTCTTTACTTCTTCCCCATCTGTATCTTTTCTTCTTTCCCTCCCTTTATCCCTCCCTGCTCTCTGTGTTCCTATCTTCTTATTCACACATTTATAGAAAAAGGAGCTAATATTTTCTAAACTCTTTTTATATACTAGGTGTTTCACATCCATGAAATAACAAGGGATATTTGCTATGTATTGAATAATTTTCAAAGTTAATAAGTATGATAGAATATCACAGACTATTTCTGAATCACTCTTTGAGGTTTCAGTTATAGAAGAGGTACAGCAATTAAGAATAGAGGTGATAAAGCCACTTGCTAATGTCAAAATATGATCTGTCCCAGATGGCAAAAAAGAAAACATAGGACCTAGAAGGTGATCAATTTGAGTGGGATTAAAAGTTTCATTTTAGATTTTAGTTGGAGAGATAATAGCTTTGCCGTAAAATGAGTGATTACTGGCAAAAACTAATCTAAATATTTCAGTATTGTGGTTACATTTCCTTAAGAGTATTGATGGAGGTGGGGAAGAGCACAAGGGAGCCTTCTGTATGCTGAAATGCAACTGAATTTGGGTAATAGTTTAATGGGAGTATACATATTATACATAAAAAATACGTGTACTACATTGTGTATGTCCTACTTAGTAAAAATCTTATATTATAAAAGGTAATATGCAAATAGACTGAATGGCAGAACAGTCAAACCAATCAAAGTGTAATATGCTAATTATATGCTAAGGCTGCTCAGCTACTCCCTATGATGTGCACTGATCACCAGGGGGCAAATGCTCTGACCAGTAGGTTAGTTTGCTGCTGGGGTCTGGCCATTCAGGACTGAGTGAGATGGGCCAGACATGCCCTAGAGCCCTCCGACAGTCCCTCCCCAGCCCAGTAGTGCACCAGTGGGGGCCCTCAGCCTGGCCTGCACCCTCTTGCAATCTGGGACCCCTGGGGAAATGTCGGAGAGCCGGTTTCTGCCTGACCCCACTGGCCACTTCTCTTGGAAGAGTGCCAGATCCAGGGCTCATGGCTTGTGAGAGCTGCTGCTGCTGCTGCAGCGTGAGCCTCTCCTGATCAGGACTGACGGGGTGTGAGCCTGCAGCAGGCACAGTGGGGCTGGGATGAGCGGGAGTGACAGGTAGGAGCTGCAGGTGGCATTGGACTGCACTTTTCAGCCTAATCCCTACAGGCCACCCACAAGGACCCTACCCATGCACCAATTGATGGACCGAGCCTCTAGTTATGATCAGAGGTGGGACAGGCCAAGGAGAGGGGCTGAGGGCCGATTAGGGGATGGGGCAGGCGACCCTGAGCCCTAATCAGGGTATGAGAAGCCAATCAGGGGTGGGACCAGCTGGGGGGATGGGGCTGTGGGAGGTTGGCTGGCTGGTCCGACCCCCTGATTCGGTCAGTTCACTGGCTGTAGTGGGCATCATAGCGACTCGTTGTTCTGGCCATTACGGCATTCTGGTCGCTGGCTTTTTATATATATAGACGGAAGTGCACCTATAAAACCTGACACACAGTAATCTGAGATGCGCTGAGCCACAGTACACTGAGAAAACAGGGAACTTTTACTCATGTCAACAGATCATGATCTTTTAAAGATCACCTGGATAAGCCACTTGGTCAACTTCTCAGAAATAGTAATATCATTTTTCACATGAACTTTAGCTAGTAACTATAATCAGGAAAGGGTAATTAGAAATTTAAATATATATGTGTATGTATACATACGTATGATTATAATTTAATGTCAAACCCCTATTTTTGTTTACTTTAAATCACAATTACATAGTTAGAAATGATATCTTGCTTGAAAAGCACAATAATACATACTTTTTCTGATAATTAGTATTTTCTCCAAAACTTGGTTTGTATATTTAAACATAGTTATTTCCACTCATTTGATAAGGTGTCAGACATGGTTATTCTTCACAGGTAGCACAACAGATGAATTGCCAGTAGATTTTTCCTATGGACATTAATTTAGAATACTTACTGTATGTTGGAAAGCTCTTTATTAAAATGCAAATATCATATGTTTTTTGGTTTCAGATTTTAGTAACCAGAATCAGACTTGTCTCAATATGTTTGTGCTTCTATATATTCTTAGCTTTACTTTTAAAACTTAAACCTAGTGAGGATAAAACAGCATACTTGTTTTCTAAGAGTGGTTTTCTGATCCCTGTGGGTCCTTAATGAATGTTCATTGAGGATAATGAAATTGATCTTATTATTTGATTTCCAGTTATTTTAATGCACACACTAGGAAGACAGTGTCAATACAGGTTTACTCCAAACCCAGTTATTTCATAATTGGCCCTTATTTTCGCACAGACTGAAATACCCAATGCATATAGTGAGAGTCCCTGGCCTTCAGTTTAATTATTTTTACATATAAAAACACTTAAGGCTTTATATACTAATCGCACTAAAATAAGTGACAAGGTAATGGAGGTAAAAGGGGGAACATAAGGAAAATACAGACACTATCCAAGTCAGCCTGAGCTTTTCAGTGTTTGCTTCTAAATTTAGTTTTGCCTTTCTTTTCCAGTTTTTCCATTATTACCTGATTTTTTTTAAACTACCAGTTATTTTATATTTTAAAAGATTTTTTATTGATTTTTAGAGAGAGAAGAGAGAGGGGGAGAGAGAGAAGCATCAATGTGAGACGCAGCATAGATCAGCTGTCCCCACATATTCCCTAGCAGGGATCAAGCAAACTGTCAGTCCCCAGGCCGCAGGACACTCACTGCCCAGCCAACTGAGCCACACCAGCCAGGGCTGTACCTGATTTTTTTAAAAAATAGTAATTAGCTTTATAGAGAAGTGTCTTCATTTTAATCATTGATTGCTGATCACATTTCTTGTCACACTTTGACAACATTATATTGTCATTTTTAGTATATTTTCATGCAGACTTTTCCAATAGACTGTGTGCAGTCCATAGTTTTCTTGTGCTTCATAGATGCTCAGTGTATACATTTTAGGGATTCATTTTAGGCTTTATATGGAAGGAATGTTTTCTGCTTGATTTTCAGTGTCCTCTTTAATGAGATCTAACCTTTTGGGGACTTTTGGTCACAGTAGCTCATTTGATTGAAGTCAGCAATGGGATGCTTAAATATAATGATGCAATATATATTTTTATTTTCTTATTTTTTTCCTCAGTGTGTGCTGTATTTGTGGGCATTGAAAATTCTTTACCCAAAAACACTGTTTTTACTTCGTGGAAATCATGAATGTAGACATCTAACAGAATATTTCACATTTAAACAAGAATGTAAGTATATTTCAAGTCTCGTCCTTTAACGCCGTTAAATGCTGAATAGTCATTTGAATCCCTACTAATCGCACATTTCCGTATGTGATCTTTTGCTTCAAAGTCAAAATTAAAAAAGACACACAAAACACACTATTTTATGCCATTCCATATTTGTCTCTAAGCATGAATAGTTAAGAGAATGTAGAATTTACTTTTAATTGTAATTCTCTATAAAGTGATCTAAAACTTTGAAATAATATTTGATGCAATTTATCATAAGAAACAGTGATTGATTTACCTTTTAAAAAGCAGCCAGAATGCAAATATGGCAAGAAAATATTTTTAAAAATTGTTTCAATGAAATGATTTTAGCTATGAAATCAGAAGAGTAAATGTTTTTGAAATCATGTTTTAAAAGGTAAAATAAAGTATTCAGAACGCGTCTACGACGCCTGTATGGATGCCTTCGACTGCCTGCCCCTGGCTGCTCTGATGAACCAGCAGTTCCTGTGCGTGCATGGCGGTCTGTCTCCAGAGATTAACACGTTGGACGATATCAGAAAAGTAAGTTTTGTTAGTTTCCAAGTCTGATCTCTCTGTGTGCTTCAGTAACAAGGAGAAGGCATTTACCTTCCTGCTTTTATCACCAGCTTTATCCTTTTGAACTAAAATGACTAAAAGTGGTCATGAATCTCTTCTTTTTTGTATTAATTTTTTTTCTTGAAAGAAAGATACATTTATATTTAGAAGAGTTTTCATCTCTAAAATGCATTCTACCTTTTGACATGTGTTATTAGAAGTGTAAAATAATTTATTCCTAAAAAAGTTTTAAAAATACATCTTTTTATTTCCTTTTGATTTCCTTCCAACAGAACCCATTGTGTATTCATGGTATATTATATCCCAATAGTTACAAAATGTTGCTTTGCTCTTGGGGAAATATAACACCTTGTCCTTTAAAATGTGTTATTTTTTTTCCCCTTCAATTTATCTGTTACAACTTAAAACTTTAAAGTGACAAAGTCAATGAGAATATTCTATTGCTTGCATTGAGAGTCTACGTAAAAAAAAACAGTCGATTTGTTTAATTTAACATTGGCTATCACCAATATTTTAAGCAACAAAAGGATGAGTTAGATTGAATGTGGATATATGTTTCATATGAGAAAAGACAGTAATATGGGATAATTTTATGTAGTGGAAGAGGCTGTCTTTTATTTCTTTGATTATGCTAAATATTCTTTTAAAAGCTCATAGTTTTTATGCTCTGGTTTCTCTTCAGATCGCATAAATCTTTCGCCTTAAAAGCTCATAGTTTTAAAGAAAAACTATTTACAGAACTAAAGCATTCAAATTCTACTTCCATTAAGGTTGAAGACCTTGAGTGTGAAAATAATAGTTTATTTACTTTTCTATTAGAAAGAAAATACCTGATTTTTACTTTAAAAATCAAACAAAAGTAGATCATATAAACCTTAGTTTTCCACTTTATGTATTTGTGTCCCTTTGTAAAGATACATCTGCTCTGGTGCTCTGTAGCCCATAGAGTATAAGTGTTTGCTTGTTTTTTAACATATTATGGAAACAGGACACTTGTACAGCTGTAATGCGGTGTGGTCATGGAGTTCAAGTATAAAGTGGTTTACTTTCCGCGTGAATGTAACCTGATTTGTTCTGTAATTTCATGGGCTTCTGAAATAAATAACTAAGCTCATAAATTAACTGGACTTTTAAAATATCATCTACTGTCCCCAGGACTGGCATGTTTCAGGTATTATGTTCAATTCTCATGTATGTTATTAAGCTCTAGACTTAGCCATAAAATGATTTTTGCATTTTGACATGTATCCATCAGAGTACCACACTTCCTTTATTAAATGAATTTCTAGTTTATTCTTACTATAGATAGTGTTAACTTTAGAAAGCACTTTGTGACTTCCCCAGAAGAAATTCTATATTCTGGTTGCCTTACCAAACTCTCAGCTGAGGATTCACATTCATCAGGAAGCCTCCCCTCCTGGGCTGTTCTGCCCCTAATAATAAGTCATTGTTTCTCAGAAAGAAATTTCCCAATTTTATGGGCAAGTATTTATTTTTCTAGAATGAATTGTTCCAAAGGCATGCATTATTTAGATCTCTTAAACAAGTCTAAGTTTGCAGTGCATGTTTTATGGATAACATAATGGTTGAAATATAGGGGGTCTTGCTTAAAGTTTTTTATTGGATGTTGAAAATGTGAAATATTGCTTCATTCTTTTTAGATACTAATAAAAAAATGGTGTGCAGCAAAACCATGATTTACATCACCTTTTATGTCTCAGGAAAAAAATGATAATTTGATTGGCTGTCAGCCTTATATATTCACCTCTCCCCCATCCTTATGGGTATTTTTTTAATGTTAAATTATTGACTATAGAGAATATCAATCCTTAATGATTTTATGCATTTTTTTCAAGAGACTATAATATCTGCTAACTTTACTAAAAACCCTTTAATTGTGGTTAAATCAAGATAAATCAAAGGAAAGTGACAGGGTTATAAAATGGTTGGCGAAATGTCATTTGTAGTTGTATTGCTCATACATTCTAAGTGCAGCTTTTAAAATTGAAATATGACTTTGCTAAATATTTATAGCTGGAATGGATTTCATATGAAGGGCTTCAAGTAAAGCTCCAGAGTTTAGAACTGAGCAGAAGAAAAAACAGCTAAATTTTAAAGTTGGATTTATTATACTGATTATCATTACTCTTGGTTTGTAACCAGTAAGATAAACTATAATAGGCTTATAGATTAATTAAATACCTAGATAGCCTCTAATGAATGAATATCCAAAATGTCATATAGCAAGTGCTCCTCTTAAAATGAAAGCTGCCTGTTCTCCAAATCATATTGTTAGATACAAACACCATAAATTGTCTTTATCCAAATTTCTAAATCACATTTTAATGGAAACAGTAATAGAAATTTTCCCAAAGATAAAATAAAATAAAAGCTCTACCTCAGGAAATGAAACACATGCAGAGTTATATCAACTGATAGTGACTAAAACATTAAGGTAGATAAGTTAGGGGAAAAGAGAAAAATAAAAGGGAGAATGGAAAAAGAGAGAGAAAATGAGTAAAGAGTTATGAATTAAAGAGGCAGGAGGGAGGTATAGGGTGAGATGAAGGCAGATGAATGAGCTCTTGAGGAGGAGGAAGGACGGACAATTGGAGAGAGAGATGAAGAGTAGAAGAACCGGAGGACCAAGGAGGAACGGGACTGACAGGAGGAGAGAGAGGCAGCTACTAGCTCTCTACTTGGGGAGAGGAAGTTGGATATTGCAAATTTCTGGTCTCTTTTACTTGCTGAATTCCCAGTTTCCAAAGATTAGTATTTTGCTCTCTGTCTTCTATTTTTCTTAGTTAGACCGATTCAAAGAACCACCTGCTTATGGACCTATGTGCGACATCCTGTGGTCAGACCCCCTGGAGGACTTCGGCAATGAGAAGACTCAGGAACATTTCACTCACAACACAGTCAGGGGGTGTTCATACTTCTACAGGTGAGAATGCCACGCCTACCTGCCAGAGCACATGCCCTTCACACATTTGTTATGTATCAGTCCACGCCTGTGATTTATTTAGGATGTTTACATATGTTCTCTAGGAAACAACTATAAATGAAAGGATCACTTTGAAAGCCTGGTTCAAATGAGTATTTAGCACTAACAAAATAAAGATATAAATAAATAGATAAGAAATGAAATATATCTACATAAGTTATATAGATATAATAATATCTGTAAAGAATAGAAAAGGCATAAAGAGGCATGTGATATCAGGGTGGCAAATTAGCTGAAGAAGACAGTAACTAGGACTTAACTAGTAGTAGAAAATTTGTTTCAAAAACTAGAAAAATATCCAATGCCAGCATTTACTCTTTCACTCAATTATGTAATACTTTTAAAATTTTATAATCAGTTTTCAAAAGTTAAATCAGAAAAAAAATGTTTAAATTGCTTAATTAAATTATATTGGAGTTATTCTTTACTTTATCAGAGTTCTTGGCTAAATTAACATTAGCAGCAACTTAGTATTTCATGCCATATGTAAATTTATTGTTAGCACGTAGACGAGTCACACTGAAAAATTTTATAGTAATTTTTACATTTTTATATTTGCCAGTGTATGGGAATTTGCCCATTCCATAACATTTCAGAGAAGAAAACAACACAGTTGCGTTTTTACATATCTCCACGATTTTCCTGACATCTCATGTCAATTTCAGCCTACTGCATTTGATTACCCTCCATTTCTGTAGGTTCCCTTATTATCAGACATACAGTTCATTTGAAAGGGAGAAAGAGATCATGGAATTGAGAATTTTAAGTTCTAGAATACATAGTCTTTTTAAAAATCCTTAAAAAACAAACTGATGTTCACTGAAGTTTATGCTCAATTCCAACACTGGCAGCTCGGCAAATGGCAAGGCTGAGAGCATTCTGTTATGGGTTTGGGGCCACATACCACCTGTCTCTAGAGTAAGCAGATATCTTTCTGCATAACATTGATCAGCGTTTATTCCATGGCAGGACATGTTGTTCCATACTAGGTTTTCCTTATGGGGAAGAAATTGTTTTCTTTTGATATGATTGGGAAATTGAAGTTTATGAGCAGAAAGTCTTGTACACTGTAAAGCATTAATCAAAGAATAGTTTTGATAGGAATATTAATAAAGAGGTTTGTTCCAAGCATATTTACCAGAAAGTTTACAATTCGTTTATTTGTTTTGGGAATTTGAACATCCGAGTCAAATGAGTCTATTTTGGCTGAAATGAAGAAGTGTGGTGTAGAATTTCTAAGAAGCTTAAGGTTTCTTTTCAGTAATTACAGTAGTTAATTTGGGAGTGATCTTTTAGTAAAGATGTTCAAGCTTTTTAGTGAAAATTTAAATATTGGAGGAATATATGAAGCCAAGTGTTCAATTTTTCACATCTAGTGTTGAATCCCTGAGTATACCAGTGGGGATTTAAATTACCTGTTGGATACCATAGAATTGTGCTTCAGTAATATAATGTCAAACAAAATCTAAGCCTCTTAATTTTGATATTAAGCCATATTGCAGTAATCATTCTTTAATTCAAATATGACCTCTTTTATTAGCTTTCTGAGTCAGCTTTTAAAATAAACCATACTCTAAATATAAAGTCTTGTACTGAATTTACATAAGTTCTGGTGTTTTTATTTTGTGAATACAGACACAGATGTGTTTACATCAGAGAAAGGCTATCAACTAGAGAGAGGATTATGCATGTTTTCACACTTTTGTTCTCAACAAAATGATTATTTAACTCCTCTCATTAGAGGTTGTTAATAGGTCTTTAGCCATAACAAACACTGAATATCTAAATTCACAGCCTATAGACTGACTAATGGTATAGCCATCTGGGTTATGTTTTATCTAAGAAAGAGAAAAATGGCTCATTCTCCTAGAGCTTGTTGATCCTTTTGATTTCAGTTCCATCATGAAGGTGCCAAGACATTCTTTGTAGTCTTGGTTTATAAAGCTGACCTAGAGGGACAAAGGGAACAACAACAACAAAAAAATAGTAGAACCCTAGCTGGTTTGGCTCAGTGGAAAGAGCATTGGCCTATGGACTGAAGCATCCCCGGTTCAATTCCAGTCAAGGTTGCAGGGCATGTACCTTGGGGAGTGTGTGAAGGCAACTAATCGATGAGTCTCTCGCTCAAGGATATTTCTTTGTATTCCATTCACTCTGAAAAAACCAATGGAAAAATATCCTCATGTGAGGATTAACAGAAAAATCGGTGGAGAAACTTGGTGACAATTACCTTTCTGAGTGATTGGCACTGATCTAGATTCACAACTCCCAGTTATTGTTCACATGTTTATATTAAATTTGCATGTTTAATTTTCCATCCCACCCTACTTATGAGCTGCACATTGCTTGGGCAATGATTTAAATAAAAGGAAATTATACATAAAAATGCATCAGTAGAATTATTTTAATGCTGTTGAGTTATAGAAAATAGACAGAGAGAAAAGAACCTATAAAAACACTATTTTTGCTTAAGTGTTACTATTATCTTTATAGCCTTAGACCCAAGATTGCATATGCTAATGCCTAAAATTGTGAGGCAGTTAACTGAGACACTTGAAGCAGGCCAAGTGTTCCACTGTAAAGATTAATGAGGATCGTGACAAATTGGAAGTAAAATTTCATTTTCATGTAGTCCAAACAAAACTGTTGGCTGGATTAGAATCTCGGGTTGTCAGTTTGTATGTCTGCCTTGGATGAATCACATAAGCTCTGTGCTGTAGGTTTAGCTGCCTTTAAAAGAAGTGAGTTACATCAGACATCTAAAGTTCTAAGATTTGAAGAAGAATGTAACAGTTGTTTTAAAAGTGTTTTTGAAGTTGCCAAGTACAGTTAACTCAACTACTAGTCTGTTCATCAGCCTTTAACTTCTCTTCTGCAACTGACACCTATCAACCCTCCACCTTGAAATGCTCTGGCTCCTCCTTTTCCACAAATCTTGGCTCTCCCTTAAATCCTGGTCCTTGCCTCTTCTGCTGCCTCTTTCTTGGTATTCCTCCTGCTTTTGACATTGTTTTCTTCACATTTTTTCAGGAACCTCACCTGTTCCCTTAGCTTCACTGTAACCTCTGTAGCTTGACTACAAGATCTACATCTAGCCCCTTCATCTCTTTATTTTTTTCTGAGCTCGACTGCTCCATTTCTAGTTGTCTGTTGCAATTTTTTTAAATTTAAGATGTTCCATTGTCACCTTTACTTAAATTTACCTTACCTGGAAAAGCTTATTATTTACTTTCCCACTTGCGTAAGCCCCACTAGAGAATCCTCCTGTCTTTTGTTTCTGTTAACAGTGCATCCTAACAGTCATGCAGGTTAGCGAATATATTTTCCTCTCTTCTTGTATTGAAATCACCACCAAGCAACACATCTTATTGACCCTTTTTATAATATTCCTTATTTATAGGAATCTGGACCATCTTGCCTTCCCTTCCTCCCACTCTAATTTCAAATCCTTCAATTTTAGTCTGATGAAATCATACCTGATTGTACAAGTCCTTCATCCCCTTCCCCTCAATTCATACTGTTCAATTCATGGGTATCTTCTGAGAATTCGTTCCTTCATTCAATCATTTGACAGTCATTACATCAGCGCGCACGCACGCGCACGCACACACACACACACACACACACACTATATATATATATATATATATATATTTTTTTTTTTTTTTTTTTTTCATTCTGTGAGATTTTGTAAATACTGAGAATCTCTACCTTCAAGGGAATACAGTCTAGTGCCAGAGATCAATAAGCAGAAATTGACAAGTAAAATGCAAGATGAGTTAGTGCTGTGATAAATGTGGAGGTCATCGCGCGCGCGCACACACACACACACACACACAAACACACACAAAAAAAAAACAGGTTACCTAACCCAAACAGGTATGGATTAGAGTTTAAAGGATTGATCATGGTAGGAGTGATATTAAATGTAAATTTTATAGGTTAAATAGAACATATCCAACCAGAGATACTAGGGAAGGTTAGGTTCTTGCAAGCAAAGGAATTGGTATTTATGAAAATTTGAGGGCAATAATACTATGAATTCTAGAAGGATGCCCACCTGAATGGTCTCTAATCCCAAGTTACAGTTAGCAGGTTTAGTATACACTAAGGTAGAATATTCATATAACTAACCTATTCCACTCCTATTTTATTATCTGCTGGAATTGTATGCATATGTGTACCAATACCTGATTGTTCATAGCAGCAATACTTTAATAGCCAAAAAATGAAAACAACCCAAATGCCCACTTAATAGAATGAATAATAAGTTATAGCATATTTAAATAACTAAATACAGCAAATGAAGATGAGTTAAAGCATCACATAACAACATGTATGCATGTCACAAGTATAATGATGCGTGGATAAAGGCAGATACTACAGAGTACAGCCTAGATGATCCCATTGAAATAAGAGTTCCAGGTTGGAGAAGGTACGCCATATACTGTTAAAAGCCAGCATGGTGGTTACCCTCAGTGAGGAGGTGATAGTGACTCAGAGGAGATACAGAAAGTTGCTGGGTTTAGGAAACTTTCTGCGTCTTGATCTGAGTGCTAGTTGCAAAGATTTTTTCACTTTGGAAAGGCCGCCAGTTTGTAATCATCCACTTTGTGCAGTTTTCTGTATAGATATTGCACTGCAATAAATAGTTTGCCTTAAATAAAAAGTGCTCACTGCTCCTGAGGCAGCTGGCAGCCAGGTGCAAGTGAGGACTCAGGCCCTGGTGCAGCTCTGGCAGGAAACATCGGAGCCTTTCCTGACTGGATCCCTGGCGGATAAAATGAAATTAGTTGGAGAACCCTGGGGCAAAGCAAATAACAGAACAAGTCCTAGGAAAACATCAGCCTAACAGTATCTGGGCAACGCTGGAACCCCCAGGGCTGAATCCCCATTGCCAGGCCTCGGAGGTGGAGGAGGAGCCGGACAGTCAGGCAGAGTCCTCTGTCCTGCTGTGCTGGACGTCAGAGGGTGAAGGTGGCAGCTTTGCTGGAACCAATGAGGGAAATAAACTGCTTCTCTCACCTGCTTAATTGCTTCTGTTGAGGCAACTCCAGAAATTAACTGTGAGCTCCAGTGAGCGGGCAAATGGCTGCTAAGCATTTAGGGTATGGAAACAAAACGGTGGGTCTTTTAAGACATTCACTGCTGCTGGAGGGCAGATGTATGCAATAATTTACATGGCAGGTGATGGAAACATGGTGGCTGCCTCAGTTTTGTACTCTTCAGGGTAAGGTAGGTTTGAAGGGAAGGGTTCACAACTAATAATATAGCTAAGGCTTGGCAGGAGAGTATGTCACTCAAGAAGGAAAAAGCTCTCGGGAAAAGTATGTAAGGACATAAAAGCATAAAAAAGCATTAAAATAGTGTCTGCTGTCTATATCATGGTTAAAGAGCTCAAAATCTTGGGGGTTGAAATCAAAGTCTAAAATATAATTTCATATTACCAGAAACAAAAATAAGAGTATAAATGGAATGCATGTAATAATAGCTATTTCATCTAGTGCTGAGTCATTTTGTCTACCATATTTCACATTTGTCTCTCTACGTTCTTCCTCTTTGTTCATGCTCAGTCCGCTTCCTGTCCCCCTTCTTCTCTTGCTGGCATTCTAACCACTTCCTATCTACTAATCTCTGTACATCATTTCCGTTAAGATCTAACATAAGTTGCAACTCATAAATATAACATCTACTGGTAGAGTCCAGGGTTGCCAACTACCATTCTGTGTTGATTCTTCCTTCCACACCCTGGTGGTGGGGAGAAACTTAGGAGTTGTAAAAAGTCTTCTTCGATGCATCAGGCACTGGCCTAGGAAATGTATGTATTGCAAACTCATTTCATCTTTATCCGGTGTCTATGAAATAAAGTGATACTGTCTGTGTTTTTATAGATGAGATGATTTGTTTGTATGAGGTTAAACAACACAATTAAACAACTTTTCAAAGTTTATACATGAAATAGGAATAAGAACCCAAATCTAAGGATCTCCACTATTCCATGGAAATTTTCACCTTCCTTTTTCTCAGAGAAGATGCATTCTCTAATGCTGGATGAATCATCATGATCCAATTAAAAAACAGTTTTAGAGAAGATAACTTCTTCCCAAACACAGCATGGATGCTGGTAAATGAACATCAAGAGCCCAAAAGCACCACCAATCTTCACCAATCCTTGCAGCTGGGCTGGTGTCAGACATCTCTAGGCCACTGGGTTGAAGAAAATCATCCCGGAGTCACCTCAGACAGATTGGCCTGACAAAGGTGCCCATGGAGGGGTGTGAGTGGGGCTGCGATCCATCCGGTCCTCAGCTCAGAAGGCTGTGGAGCCAGACTTGGGCTGGTCAGTCTGGAGGAAGAGGGGCTCTTTCTCTTTGGTGGGCACAGAACATGGATGCTTCACCTTATCAATGCAAAGAAGAGGCAGGGAGGAGAAAAAAAAAAAAAAAGATCTGCTATGAGTTAGGTAGTTTTCATAAAGATTTCCTCAGACCCCTGTGCTTTCTTTTCTTGCTATATTGAGTCTCAAAATTTGTACTATTTTATCTTAAATGTGTTCTATTCAGAAACAGTTTTTTTTTTAGTTTTAAAAAATATTTTACCTTCCTACCTAGATTACAAATGTCATCAAGACAGAAACCACACCTTACACTTATAATATGCCCATTCCCGGCCAAAATACAGTCTTCTAACAAAGGGAACAGACTCACCAGTGAGATTTTGGTAAATTGTTGGTGAATAAGTAATTTCCAACTCTCTCTATGGTGGTAAGGTGTTGTAATTCTGTTTTTTCTATCATTCTTCTTTTTAAAAAATCCTTACCCAGGATATGTACACTGTTTTTTTATTATTTTTCTGTTTAGAGAGAGAATCATCAATCAGTTGCCTCCTGTACATACTCTGACTGGGGTTCAAACCTAGATATATGCCCTAACCATGAATTGAACCACAACTTTTTGGCATACAAGATGTTCCAACTAACTGAGCCACCACCAGGGCAATATCTTTTTCAAATGCTTTCCATCTTGAACACTTTGGTTTTCATCATTTTGATTAGAAAATATTATAAAGTTTTCCTCCATAAAAATATTAAAAACAATAATGTATCCTAGGTAGGTAGCTTACCAATAATGAGAATCTAGTTGATAACCAAGTACTTTCTTAGAAAGTTTGAGTTTTGCTTGCTTGTGCTTTTAAATTTCTAAAGATTTTCTTAAATTTACTTTTTTCTCTAAGAAAGAATGAGTGTGTCCTTACTTAATGCCATTAACCTACGAGTATGCTGCTGGATTGATTTAATTTTCTTCAGATTTTCATTAGAAATCAGATATATATTTCCATGGAAGAAAACTTAGCTTAAACACATAAAGGAAACAAAGCATGAAGAAGACATATTAAAATTCTGTTTTCATAAGACTAATAATGTAAGTTCTTCCAAAAGGAAAGGAGTAAAATAAAGAGCAGCCAAGCCATTTTCCCAAGGGCAAAAAGTGAGAAACCTAAATAAACAACCTCTGTCTACAATTCAGCAATCAACGAACGCCAAACGAAAACTACAAAACAGATCAAAAAACTTTTTTTACTGATTAACAGCTGAATAGCCAACTATCAAATAACAAAATGTGTTTTACATTTGTACTACGTCTGCAAACCTAAAAATTCAACTGAAGCCATATACAGTATGTGTGAAACCCGCAATTACTTAGGTGCCGACCCTTATGTATTTTATTGAGTTTTTATGATTGCTGAATTGTCTTCTATGGCATATGTAGTTCAAGTTTGTGGATAGCTGCACTTTGTTTATATTAAAACAAGCATGGGCTTGCTGTCCTTTGATTTGAAATACCATTTTTATGGCATACATTTATCTCTTTCAAAATTCTTAGAGCAGAGACAAAGTGATTGCAAAGGTTTTTCAAGTTTAATTTGAAACTTGAATTGCATTTTGAATGAATTTCCCATCTTTCACTTTGAGATTTTCTTAATAGGCAGTATTATCTTGATTGAATTTTGATAATTTTATTATGTCAAGATAAAGAATTAGACTTAAGATCAAGTTCTATTGAACATATGCAAGGTCCACATTTTAAAACCTTGTGAATTCCATAATTCTGGTTAGATCTTGAATGATGTAGTCAGTTAATGTAACCATACTTAAGTTGATAGCTTCACTTTCCACACTTCCCCTTTTTCCACTCCCTCAGTCTTCTCTGTGGAATGTTTAGTTCCCCTGCCACGCCCCACCACACACACATACACACACCCAAATACAAATAGGGCTGTGTTTGAGAAAATTGAGGCTTATATTTTAAATTCTATCCTCATGTTATATTTTGTGTAAAGGTAGACTTTGTCATATTGATTTTCTCTCCAAGTGGGCACTTTTCTGATGTTGTTATGTAATAGCCGTCCTTCTTCTTCCAATTCATGCACCTCCAGCCCTTTCTCATTATGTAAAATGTACAGCTCTGGTGCTTTCTGTGCCGCAGGGGAAACCTGTCCTTTGAGAGCCAGGAGGCTTGTTTCATGAATGATGTATGTTTCGTTATGCTGGATCAAATCACATCGGTCTGACATTACAGGTAAATGTGTTCCCTTTGATGATTTCCTAACAGATGCTTCTCTTTTCTTTTTGTCTCTGGCAGTTACCCGGCTGTTTGTGAATTCTTACAGCACAATAACTTGTTATCTATCCTCCGAGCCCATGAAGCCCAGGACGCAGGGTGAGCACTATTGGGGGTTTATGGGAAGCATGCATTCCTCGTCCCTTTATCACAACTCCCTCGCTGTGCCCAGCCTGTGGCTGTTCCATCGGCCAGGCTCTGTCCCTGAAGGAATTCAGTCTTAAAACTGTCTTCTGATGTCACAGATATGGCAAGGTCCCGGGGAATGAATGGCCGCAGGTGTATTGTCAAGTCCCCTTTAAAATTCTTCTATTTTTAGCTTGAACAGGTAACAATTTCAGCTGTTTTGTTTTTTTTTAAACACTGTAAGAGCACTTCCTCTTATTTTAACTCCTGCTCTTACCACTGTCTGAGAAGTAAGTAAATCACCAGTCTTGGTTGCCAAGGTGAATGAGAATTGCAAATAAATATTTATCAGATGTTGCATGTTGCACTCTTGTTTAAAGAATCACTTTTGGTCCCCATAGAATTTTAATGGACAAAAACTGAAACATTTAAATGGTAGGGGAAATCATACAGTTTATAACAGAAAATACCATATAATATCTGATAAATTTTTAAATATAGACCAATTTTAAGGGTTTAGAAAACTAAGAAATATCAGATGTTCTCTTTGATGGTGTATTAAATGTGCACTAGGGAAAAACAGGATAATTAATTGTAGGATTGGAAGTCCAGTACCTTCCAAGTAGGACTCACTGAAAAGCAGCGTTGGCCTTCAAATGCTTACACTCATCCCTTCAGGTTCTGAATTTCCTGAAATGGAGGAGCAGTGATTTTTATGACCTGTGTGCTGATACTGGGAATGTACATGCCTGCATTCTGAAGTAACACCATGTCTGTTATGACCTTGAATCAATGCAGGTCCTAAGTTCCTTTCAAAATTAGCTTTTTTTTAAAGCATTTAGTCAATAGGTATAACCAGATGCAATATTCCCTGCTCCATGCTGTTGTTGCTGATGTTTGAAGTAAACTGTTGCTATACCCAATCAATCAGATCCTCAAAAAATCTTTTTTCACTTTTCAGGGCAGGAGTGTCTCCATGCTTTTTCAGCTGACTGTCCTTACTGTGCAACTGAGGCGAGGCACACTTAACTTAATCCCACTAAAATCATCTGCTTATTTGAAAATATGTTAAGTGCATCAGTTAAAATCAACAACTCTGTTTAAAATGAGCAGTTGATTGATTCACTGGGGCAATTGAGATTGTGTCATCCCATTTCTTTGTTTTTATTGGATGCCATGGCCAGCCCTAGTTTATAAACTTAAGGTGCTAGGATTAAGAATGGTACTATCTTTCACATTCTGACTCCCCTTCCCCAACAAAGCTCAATCCCATAGCAGAATAAATATTTCTAGAATGTAAACGAAAAGTAATTTTAGACTATGATAAAAACTAATAAGCATTTATTTCAGCAATAGTAGCTGTAGCCCAAGAGACACAGATTTAGGTAGCAACCTAAACTCTATCTCACTGAGACCAAGGGGAGGTCTCCTTTTATAGGGAAAATTCCTGCCAAAGTTCTTGATTAGGTCATTTTTATGTAAATGAGGTATCCAAATTGTAAAGTTCTAATTGGACAGGGCAGATCTCAGTCCTTTGTGAAGGCAAAAGCAGAGTTTCTCTGCAGTCATTGAGTCAGACAGCGAAATCAGCCAAGAGTTTGATCTGAGGTTCTAACTAGTATACATGAGAAGATCCTGTCAGCAAATGACCACTAGGATATTATTATTCATGAAATGTGGGACCTTCGTTGACCATGGGGAATCCATCTCAGCTGATAAATTCATTTGGCTATTCACATCAAACGAATATTTTTGGTTCTAAAAGGTACTATTTGAGGCACCTTCTAAAACCCAGCTAAATTAGACATGCTAGAAATAACTGACACACAATACACAAGAAATGATAAAATTTTGTTATGTGCTATATAGGGGATGTTTCTAAACTGATATTCCTGAAATCTGTTGCATAGAAATTATGAAATATATTTTCACATTGGTGGGAAAGAGCCGGTCTTCTGTATATTTTGGTTATTTGAAGACTAGAGTTCTATTTTGTCTTAGCAAAAAAAGAATAAAACCAATACTGGATTGTTGGTTGATTTCCAAAGACCTTGCAAATGTTCTTTTTTATCACTGATTGATTAAATATCACCCTGCTGAAACAATGGCCTTTGGCCTGCAGACACCACAAAAGATTGATAATAAATAAATTCTAAAGTAGAAACAGTTTCAATTCATAAAACCCATAGATTTAATTAAACTTTCTTTGAAAAACAAATCACTTAGTCTGGGCAAAAAGGGGAAACATAATTGTAACAGAATATTATAGATAAATAGAATAATCAGCCTGGTTATTTGTGGGAAAGATTTAAATATTGCTTTGCTTATTGAGCCTTTTTATGTCAAATATATTGGCAGGCTTGTGAAAAACATGGTAAGTAGAGAATTAAAAAGTAGCCTGTATTTTCTATTGAACACATGGAACTGGATTTTCACTGAATTCCACCCTCCACTATGTCTGCTGGACTTAGGGAGAACCTATTTCAAACTTTTATAACCGAGTATATGCTTTTAGTCTCACCTCCGAAATGAATTGATGTTGTTGTATAACAAACTTCAGAGAAAAAAGTTTGTTTAATGTTATGTAGTCAAATTTTCTTTGAATGATAAAACTGATTTTAATTTTGTGTTTACATATTTACAGTTGGATACTATAGTGTTTTTTTTTCCTACGTGCTCTAACTTACACTCCTTGTTTTTAGGTATCGCATGTACAGGAAAAGCCAGACAACAGGCTTCCCTTCTCTTATTACCATTTTCTCAGCACCAAACTACTTAGATGTATACAACAACAAAGGTAAGTGGTTCTGAATCCCTCTTATGGCTGATTATTACAATAGGTGTAATAATTCTAAAGCTTTTTTATTTTGATTTGGGTTTAGTGAAGCATCATTACCTCTTTTGCCCTTTCCTTTTTCACTTATTGTTTGGTCTAAATTCTAACAGGATCTCCAGAGGTAAAGGTTCAGTGGGTCAGACATAGGACCCAGGTGCTGTTATTTTTTTAACTGTTCTTCAGGAGCTCCTAATGTAGAGCAGAGTTGTCAGCTACTCTGGAGATTATAGACTTTGGAAGAAATTATACTTGGCAGAAATCCAAAATCCAGTCCCTTAAGAAGGGTGTGGATTTAAATAAGAATCGTGTGGTTGTGCATTTAAAGAGTCACGAAAAATAAGCATACAGAATCTATAGCTTGAAATTCAGATTCAGATTGCATGTATTGGGAACCTACCATGAGTCAGAACCTATGCTCAGAAAGTAAATATACATTGAGATTTTTAAAAATTGTATTAAATTTCAAAGTAAAAGTCAACAGCCCTGCAGCTCCTTAAGCAGTGAGTCCCTGGTTCATTGCCTAGCCCAGGGTCACTCAGTTAGGTATTGGTGAACTGGGCTCAGGCCCAGGTGTTCCGGCTTGACATTCTGCACTTCCTTTCTGAAACTCCACACCCATGTGTCTGAAAGAGCCCAGGAAACAAGAGGGCACTGTTTATTGACTTCAGGGAAGAAAGGAGGAGCGGGGGACACATTATCTCCTTTCATCAAGGTAATCTCTTTATTCAGAAATGATGAGAAGAATTATAGGTGTGGCAGAATGGGTGATAAAATGGGAAAAGCCATTAACTCTAGTTGGCATTGGTCTGGGGTAGTTCATGTCAGAGGGTGGCTTTCTGAGATTAAGAGAAATGGAGACTGGAAAGAGCAAAAGCAATCAAATAATATTTGCCAGGTGAGATACAGCCAGGCAGAGGCAGGAAAAGGCAGTCTGAACTCCTGGGAGTAGGAGCCATTCCCACACCTAAGTGAGCTGTGATAAATGTTCTTGTCACAGGCTGGAGTCCAGATGCCCGGGATGGGCCTTGGCCACCTTGATAGTGAACCGCCTGTTCTGTGGCCTCAGACCTTATGAATAGGTGGTTGTCTTGGTTTTTGTCTTGTATTCCACATTCCCTGTGGAAAGTAGGCCTCCCTTTTCGCCTGTGCCCTGATTTCCTGCTTAAAACTTCCCTGCTCCAGGCTGGCCCCTGGCCCCCATACCTTCAGGATCTGTTAGGGATCCTGCTCCAAGAGGCAAACCTCCTGTAATGACAGTGCTGCCCCTTATCTCCCTGATCCTCCCCTCTCCCCAGATACCTCTGCTTTGTCCTACTCAGCGCAGAACATTCCCCCACTTCCCCTACTGCCCAGACTGTGACACCTATGGCCTGAGTGAGCTGCAGCCATGCCATCCTTATGCCGCCCTTTAGACTGAGGTGGGCCCTCCCTGAGCCAGGGAGTACCATTCTCAGTAGGCACAGTGCAGTTTCTGTCACATCCATGAATGTGGGGGTAAAGGACAGTCGTCCCCCCTTTCTGTTTGCCTAGGTCCTATAAAAGATGCTGCCTTTCCTATTCTGTGGCCAGAAGCATGCAAAGTATAAGAAAACATACATGTTCTCAATATGCCAAGGACTTATAAGCCAGTTGACAAAGTACCATAAGACATTTAGGTGATTGAATAAACATATAAGACACGCCCTGGCCAGTTTGCTCAGGGGATAAGAGTATCAGCCCTAAGACCAAAAGGTCTTGGATTCATGTACCCTTGGTTTCAGTTCCATCCCCAGTCCTGGTTGGGGAGCTTGTAGGAAGCAACCAATGGGTGAGTCTCTCACATCTGTGTTTTTCTCTCTCTTTCCCCCTTCCCTCTTTCCTTTCCTTCCTCCTTTCCACTCTCAAAATCAATTGAGAAAATATCCTCCAGAAAGGTTAATGTATATATATATATATATGTGTGTGTGTATATATTTATATTATGTATAAAGTAAGAGAGACAGATTACAATGGGTAATTTTCTAGCATGGTCAGAAAAGACTTTCTTTAAGGTAAACTATGATCTTGTGTTAAAAAAAAGCAGGAAGTGTTTGTCCATCCCAGGCTGGCAGAGCCAAACACTAGACCCTGAGAGTAGCAGTGGAGAAGGATTGGCTACTTGACTGATGAATGGTGCCATCCACGGGAACAGGAAGTGAATGCCCTGGAGATCTGACCCCAGTGGAGTGTAGGTTACAGAGGACAAAATCACAATACTCCTTGGGTTGGAAGTTCGGTGTCATGCTGGGAGGTAATTGGTCAGAGGTGAGGAAAGGGTCATAAATTATTTCTTTGGGTTTTGAGGATAGTTCTGAGGTCTTTTCCCGTTTCCGTCAGTCCAGAAGCATGAAAACGTAGCCAGGAGGTGGTTCCACCTTAGGGCTCAGGAACTAAAACATAACTTAGGTCCAAATGTTATCTTTAGCCTACCGGTGGTCCAGACCTTGTGACCACGGGGCAGGTCCTGGCTGCTGTCTTCTGCTGCCTCCGGGCTGCTGATTATCCTGTGGAAAGACTAGCTTTCTGAGGGGCATATGAAAGAGAAAGAAGGAGAGATGTGATTTGAAACTAGTGAAGTGAGTGCTCATGTAAGTAATTTTCTGGACAGAGACTGATTACTACTGATTACTACGTAGTATGTACTATACTTACAAGTTTTTTTTCTCCTTTTAATCTTCACCTGAAGCTATGTGTTTATTGAATTTAGAGAGAGAAACATGGGTCAGCTGCCTCCCATACATGCCCCTGCCAGGCATCATATCTGTAACCCAGGCATGTACCCTGACCGGGAATGGACCCTCAACCTTCAGTGCACAGAATGATGTTCCAACCAACTAAGCCCCACCAGCCAGAACCTTACAAGTTTTAAACAACTAAAAAGTTAAGCAGTTAAACAAGAATAAGAAGAAAGTTGGGATTTTATTTCATGAGAACAGACTCGGAGCTTTTCCTTTCATCATTGTGCTGGGTGACGCAGTTTTGCAGGAGTCCCATAGCAGTTTCCCCACATACAGTTTGTGTGCATTGCTCCTATGGTTCTGATTTAACAAGGTAAGAACCGAGAAATACAGTAACCATTGGTGTATTGCTAGCTTTGAGGTTCCATAGTTTGTTCATTGTGTCCTCTTGCCTCTGGGGTAGGTCATAATATCTGAGAAAGCAGATGGAAGCATTTCATTTGGGGGATCTTTTCCATAAAAGAAAAAGATTCTTCTGGGGGGGGGGAGGAACTAATAAAAAGAAGAAAGATATATTTTTCAGTGTGAGCATAATTTCAAAAGGATTTAGAATAAAGTTTCTGAAGCACTTTAAAGTTGTCATGCTTACACTGTGTACAGAATATGGAAGTGGGAGGCAGTTATTCCCTGCCGAAGTGAGGATTACTATATTTGAATCAAATAAATGTTCACAGAAGTTTTAAAATACACTGCAACAAAACTGAGTTGCAAACACCTTCAATACACAGTCAATGGAGAGATCAGCAAAGACTCTGAATTAATTATTAGAGTCTTAAAAATAGATGATCATACAAGTTTCTAGAATTATGACTTACTAGTTATAGTATGATTTGATTTTTAAAGCTTCTGTAAATTAAGTAAAAGCTTTCTGGCAACATGAAAGAACAAGAACAATGGGTGTATTCTATCATCTTAAAACCGATCATTGCTGTGTGATCAGCTTTATGTATCAATGCCCAATAGTTCTGATTCGTTGTTCATTCTTGTCCATTAAAGACAGCTCTCAGAGAGTTATGAAGTCCCATCCCTTAGTGTGGACCACATTCATCCACTCAGTTCTTGTCCTTCCTGATCTGCGTGGAGGCAAATGTCTTCTCACCCCCTCCCTGCTCCTGATACATCGCTCTGACACTCCTGCTTACTCCTATGGAGGCCAGCTGGACAGAGTATGTCAATGTGAATCACAGCTCTGCCATGAAACAGCTAACTCATCTGATTTGATTGGCATGCAGTGACATCTCTATAAATAAGAAAAAAATGCTGTGCAGTTGGAAGATTTCATCACTAAATATTTTACGTTGCTATTGTTACCAATTTAGACGGTCCAGGACCCCTTTGTGGGGACCCAGTCCTTTCTTTCTCTGTTTGGTGTCCTGAAGCCAAACAGGAGAGTTCAGCTAAGCGTTCAGCAGCACAGGCTGTGTTCAGTGGCCAGAGGATGGAGAAGCAGGAGTCAAACTCACAGATCAACTTCTTGTAGAGAAGTCTGGAGGGGATTATTATCTGGACAGGGTAATGAGGGGGATATGTATATTAGTTTTGGGGAGAGAAGAGGCTTGTCTCTTCCCAGAATTGGGATCCCACCCTTTCCTTTTCCTTATATAGTCTGTGTAAGATCTGGTAAAGCACCTGAGGATGTGTCAGTTAGCATGCTAATCTGTCTGTATATAAAAGCCTAAAGCGGTTATGATGTGCAATGACCACCAGGGGGTAAGCACTTGACATGAGCTGTGGAGCTCAGGTGTCTTGACAGCTGCCGTTCTCAGGTGATGCACCTGGAACCAGAGAGGAGGGAGCCCAATTCCAGCATGTACGACCCAAGAACCACCCTTTCGCAATCCAGGACCCCTAGGGGATGTTGGAGAGCCGGTTTGGGCCCATTCCCCACAGCCAGGCCAAGGGACCCCACCAGTGCATGAATCCGTGCACCGGGCCTCTAGTGTGTTATAATGAGGATCAGGGGATAGTAAGGTTCGGGATATAGTGAGGTTCAGGGTATAGTGAGCTTTAGGGTTTCCTAGAGGTCAGATTCAGCACCATCTTGGTTCAGGCCAACTGTGGTTGGTTTTGTAATTCTGCCCCACTTCTATGTTTTTTCTATAACCAAATGGAAAGATAAGTACATCACGTTTCAACTGCCTGGGGCCCACAGCCAGCCATGAGGTCACTGTTTCAATGCCACTTCACAGGAGCTCCTAGCAGCAT